TGTGGTTTCTGTATGCTTGGTGTACAACATGTTACCAGCGCATACTGATTCAGCAATGTTCAGCTAGTTCCTGAACAATGCTTGTATTCACTCTTTTGCAGCTGTGGCAAGCCCTGAGAGAAGCTCTACAATGCAGATAAGGGCATCTGCTTGTTTTAGCTTTCCACCAGCGAGCTGTGACCTCTTTTCTCCCTGGCTCTAGGCCCTGTGCCCTGCCAGAGTTGCCTCTGAAAAGGCAAGGGCTATTTCGAGCACCTACAGTTTGCTAACACACTTTTTTTGCAAAACACGGGTCAGTACAGTTGACGGCGCCATTCTCGGATTTAAGGCATGTAAAGAACGCGATTCCAAACTGGGTGTCCTCAATCCTAGCTGATTCTTTGCTTCAGGTACAAATGAGCTCATGCTTTCCACAGCATGTTGGACTGGGATAGAAATAAAGCTCGCATGTGTGTAGCAGTTTGTCTAGGTTCAGAATTCATTTCAAAATCATAAAAGTAACACACATTTGTATTATGAAATGCTCATCTGCCTCTGCAAATAAATTAATTACAAGAGTTTCCAAATGCAAAAAAAAGAACCAGCTCAAAATACCTTGCAGTGGCTGTCTCCTATCATATGCAGCTGGTGAGGTGCACTACACATATCTGCAAATATCCGAGAGTATTTGAGAATTCATTTGGTATCTATCAATAATACGGGCCACAGGAGAATGTAGAAAAGTAGCAGAGAGCAATCGTTGTCAGAGGGCATTCAAAACGCACTGCTATTATAAAAATGAGCACCTCTGATCATCGTGAAAACATTGTGTCTGCAATCCCATTGTGCAAATTTCACCCATCTGTATGAGAGCCTGCAACAGGCTCCACTGCATGATGCACTGGCCGCTGCCCTGTGAGTGTCTGCTCTGCTTTGTGCTCTGTGTGCATGAGCGTGCCTCGCAGTTTCCTCAGGTTAACCCAAGAAGAGGTTGTCAACAGCCTGTCAGCCAGAGGTTTTCACAGAGTCACAGCGAAGGCCACAGGCAAACCTCTCTGGATTACATAACCAGTTCTGCTCCACACTGCACTGTTAGACAGTCAGGCATCCCACTGCAGGCTATTCTGGAAAGTCACCAGTGACCTGCGGCTGTTGAGCCCTTTGCTCAGCAGCAGGATCACACTTGATGGCCACTGGCCAAAGACTTTACTCACACTCCCACCGACCTGTTTCCCACGTCCTGCTTCCTGCTCCCAGTTCCCTCTGTCCTTCTAGCTCTGCTTCCTCCTTCCTCCCTGATTTCAAACAGTTCCTTTCTAATTGCAGCTGGGACTCTAACCCGCCCATGAAGACAATAGCCCATGAGTTATGAGTCCGAGCTGCACTCAGAATCTCAGAGAAGAGACAGACCCAGCGAAGAACACTGAACACTTCCAAACACCAGTTTTGCAAAGAGTTGTGTCAGAGGGACACTTACACTCCAGCAGACTGAAAAGTGCACTTACTCAAGCGACACAGGAAAATGGCCTTGTTTTGTCATTACCGAGGCTCATCAAAAGGAAACCAAGCAATAACACAACTGTAAAACGGCATCATTCAACCAGCTAACAGCTGAGGTGTAAACTCTGAGCACAGCCACACAGTCAGCAGGACATGCCAGAGCTGTAGATGTGGGCTGTCTTGAAGATGGTCATGGTGATTGTGCCAGCTGGCCTTCTGTGTTTCTGCAGCCTCCCCTGTGGCACCTGGTTTTTTTGCGTTTGCTGTGGGTGAAGGCAGGAGACAGGGAGCATGCGATAGGGGAGGACAAGGGACAGGGAGCCCAGGCAGAGACTAATTTGGTAAGTCATGTCAGGGATGGACAGGAGCTCAACAGCTGCGAAACTGAACCCTCAGGGCTGATTTAGAGCAAGGTCACTTCGGTGCCACCCCTCCTCCAGCTCCCTCCCTATTCCCCCAGCATTACCCTGCCTTCTGCCCTCTCTTCACCCCCCACAACCAATGCTCATCTGCTGTTTGGTTTTCTTCTCCACAAGACTTTCTGTTTCTACCTTTCATTCTGTAAGCCTTTGCGGACTTTACAGACTAACTAAAAAGTATCTCTTCATCCTCTGCCACTTTCCCACGAATTTCAAACCAGGACTTCAGCTCCCATGCTAACGCTGCTGAGAGTCGATCCCTGTTCACTCACACTCAAGGTCATTGTGCTACTCGGGGTGCAACAGCAACACAATAATCAGCCGCTGCAGGCATCCTCTGTGCAATATCACAGGTGTGCACATCTCCTTACACACTGCAGTGTCTCAGTCTGTATCCCCAACACCCAGCTGGGATTCTGTAACGTGGGGATGTGGGGGAACACATTCAACGTGCACCACATGCACAAAGCACAAACAAATCTGAATTCTACAGAGATCCTTGAGGTAAACCAGCACTGGTCCACGAGAGCAGCTGTCCACCTGGTCTTCTCAGCTCAAGAAAACCATTGTCTATTTAAGACCTAGGGAGAGAATTAATTTGGTCCAATGAAGCTAACATCTGGCTTTAAAAGGCAATGAGGACATTTAGGAATTTGGAGATGAACATCAGAAGACTCTGTGGTCCTGGAGGGCTAGAGCTGAACACCCCCAACGTGAACCCAAATAACCAGCAATGGAAAAGGATGTCTGGCTCACCTGTCATACATTAGTTTCTTGTCTTACTAACATTTTAAATTGCAAGGAGGAGGATAGCGATTGGGCCAGTTGTTTCCGACTTTTTAAACTCCCTGATCAGTCTCTTCTTTCCACTCATGTCCTACTACTGCTGCTGGACGTACTGCGGACACAGAAACAGGTGGAAAGGAGTTCTTTCCTTCGTGTTTCTGCTCTCCTCCCTGCAGAGCCTCAGTGAGGCTGCGGCCTGGTTTCTGGTCACATGGTCCCGCTGGATAAACCATTAGTCCCGAGTGGGGGCTGATGCCCAACAGGTGCGGTCGTCACAGACTGTACTGCTAGGAGGGGGAGGACTGAAAAATGCTGCACCCGAACTGTGCTTGCCAACTGGAACAGCAAGCGGGTCTTACACCTGCCCGCTGGCACGACCTACGGAGCGTGTGATGTCCTTTCGTTCTCTGGCAGCGACGTGTGCATACCACTGGAAATAGCCTCAGCGACAGAAAGAAAAAAAACAACCCTGTTGCTGGGGCTTCTCTGACATCCAGAGGCGCAGAGCTGGGCTGAACCTCACACAGACAAGTATCCTGCAAATCTAGCCCGGTGGAAAAGAGTTCTCTCGCAAACTGCCCTGGCTGGACACATCACAAGCCTTAGACCCCCGTGCGGCACTAGAGGGTTCAGAGGTGTCACTTTTAACCACAAGATTGTTCTCCATGGTTCCTGTCCTCCTGTCCCTTGCACAACACACTAAAACTTACAAACTGCCTTTTAAAAACTTGAGTTGTTCTGCTCAACCTGCTGTTATGTTACTCTTCTGCTACAGCCCTGTTTTACTAGATTGCACAATGCTGTGAGGACTCAGACTGGGCCATCAGTCCTCCAAAACACATTTTGATCGATCATTGATCATCCTTCTCAAGCACTTGTTCTTTCGTCAAGAAATCACCTCTTGCCATCAACACTGGACACTAGCAGGGAAGGACAACAGTCATTTTTCTAAGCAATAGAAACATAATTAGACTGCTCACAGCCACAAATACTCCCTGAGATATAAAATGAAATTTGTTTTAATTTCACATCTAGTAGCTAACCGCACAATTGTCCAAGAAGATAAATAGCTCTTCAAACTGAATCTGTATGAGCCAGAACTTAGGCAATTTTTTTATCTCTAGGCTTCTCATGGGGATTGATGGCATCTTTTGATCTCTTCTGTCTATCCATAAACCTCAAAACTTCTGTCTGCAATGCTAATAGTTATTAAAATGGTTTCATTTTCTCTGCTTTAAAGGAAATGCTTTCAAAGCCCAATCATGAAAGAAACCATCAGAAAAGTCCCCTTGCAAGTGATCTTCTGCTCTTGTCAATAACAGCTTTGCTTGCTGACAAACAACAAACCTTCTTTGCACAGCTGAGACACCTCTGCTCTTCCAAAATCGAACCATGAGGCACTTAAAGAAATCTTTTCCTGAAAACCATCACTTTCGCATCAACAGCCATGGAAAATAAATCCAAGACAAAAGTTGCAAAATCTCTTGCCCAGCCCCAGGAAGCCAAGGAATCTTAGGATAATGGGATACAATTTTAGCTTCTAGGACATGTGACACTGTGTTGATCTGTGACACAATTCTCACACCTGTCTACAGTTTGACACATGAGAGGCCCAGAGAAAGAACAATAGGCAGGGATAACAATTGTATAACTCCAGTAGCAGATCATTAAAGAAGCTCTCCTCTTCAGATATCACAATCATCTTTCACAGTTAGAGCCCCACAGCTTCTTCTTTAAGGTAAACATCTCCTTCAGCACGGTTCTTGTCCAAACTAGGGACCCCCTCCACACACCCTAACCCAAGCTGCCCCGGCTGTGCTCCCCGACTCACGGAGACTCAGGAGCGCAGCTGCTTAAATATCCCGCACCGATGGAGGACTAGCAACGAGAAGCTGCCTGACAAGAATAAAAATCAATCATTTTAATCTCAATACGCACTCTGCCACACACAGGCGCATGCTTAAGTCCCAGATGTCACCACGCTGAAAGCAGAGAACCAATGCCAACTCTACGGTGCGTGATACGGAAGATAGCAAAGGTATTTTTCCAGCTCTAAAGCCATTAGGCACGGCAAGTATGTTTGGCAAACGGGGGCTTGGGTTTGCACACGCACATGGAGGCTCTCTCCTCCCCCCCGAGCTGCATGTGGGCCTGGAGAGCAGGAAGAGAGATGGCAGCTGCCGTCCCATCTTAGGTCACTGTGACGTGAGCCCCTGCCTTCCCAAATCTGAGCAGCGCTGGAGACGAGGGGCTGACCAATCCGGGCTCCGCACTCAGAAACCCAGCTGACCAATGGCCTGAGGGCAGCCTAGTATATAAACCTAAGGCTTGACTCCTTGGACCTTGGGCTACCCCTATTTCGGCTTTGGTGAAAAGGATCTGATCCCAAGGACTGTTACCTCTCCTTTTTCATCCCATCCAGGTAAATCCTCTTTGACTGTCCTTGGATGTTTTGGTGGGGTGGGTGAAGGGCAGATTGGGGTGTTCTGAAATGTGTCCTAGTAAAAAAAATAAAGCTTCATTTTAACTCTTTAAAAAAAATAAAAGTTACGATCTACCTCCAAAACCAGAGGGAAGGCATTATTCACTTTTAATTATCCATTTATTTGTACATTGCTTTAAAACTCCCATTTGCTGTGTAAAGAAAGGACCACCAAGGGTCTGAACAGTGGCCTGCTGTTGCATTTTTTACAGTTAAGCTGTGAGATTTTGCTAGGTGTTTGGACTTATGAAGTGTTACTGCCGATCTATGGGTTTTGGACCTGGCTTGTGACTTTGCACAGAATGTGACATTTCTGACCTCCCATTCAAGATTGCAAACTGCTCGAAACTCCTGTGGGTTTCACAGAGGGCTCTGCGTTGAACAAGGCTGCACTGCACCATCGCGCAAAGTGGTGGAGCTCTGTGCCCTTGGCTCTTATCAGCTGCTCGTGTGAAGGGTCTGTGCTGCAGAACGCAACACAGTGGCAGCAGGGAGAGAGGGCTCTGTCGGTCCTCATCAGCCCTGAGAGTGAAGGCAGTAGAGATCAGGGAAGAGGTGGAAGGAGAGGGCATGAATGGAGAATTTCGCTTCTCTTATGCCGTGTTTTATCAGTGAGCGTGGACAGGGCAGTGTCACCGGTCTCTGCCGGACTTTACGATGCCAAAGTCAAGGACCCTTCAAGGTCACAGGAGAAGAAGAAAATACCAGACTTGGCCTTTTGGTTTTATACCTATCGGCTCCAAATGTGCACCTGATGTAAAAGGAAGAGGTGTTATTTCAAGATTGCTGCAGTGTAACACAGAGCAATGAGCAGTTGCAAAGGTATATTGTGTTGCAATGCAGTGCCACAATGTTCCCATTTACTTGTGAATGTCTAACAGTGGCAGACTTATCTTGATTTTTTTCTGCATAACTGCTTAACCACTTAAAAACACTTAGAAAGCATTCTGTATCTATTGGCAAATGCTAAAGGCTTGACAGCAAGTATTTGATAAGTACTGTGTCAGTGCCAATACTAATCACACTAATCCAAAGTACTGTAGTTGCAATTTGCAGGTGATGGTCCACTTACGACAAGTGTACGCACAATCAATACAACACAGAGTGCTGTGTAATCTGTGTCTTGGTCTTGGTGTGATAAGCTGTCATGACAGCTGACGATTTCTGATTTCTGTCTCCCACACCACCTGTCTTTGTCACACAGTCCACAGCAGTTCGCTAACGTTGTATGCAAGCGAATGATCTATGGACGGCTTTTTGTTTGAGATTTTTCTCTCCTTCCCCATCTAAACCAGATTCCAGAAGAGCCAGACATCAGATCCCTTTCTGTCCAGTTTCTCTTGTCACTGGTGTGGGAATTCCTTCTCCTAGGATAATGCAGAATGAACTCAGCCAGAGATGGTCCTGTCCATGAAAGCCCCGTTTGTGCTCAATTATTACTTTGCAAACTTGCTGGCTTTCTCTGACAAAACCCACTTCAATTTCCTGGTGCAACAGCTGCCCTGGCATTGATGCTCTGCAAAACAAAAAAATTGGACTTTTTTAACACTGGTACATTTTAGTTCAGAAAAGTTAAAGGAATGAAAAAAACTGAACAATCCAGAAAAAAGAAAGACATCTTTCTTGTGTAAGACATCTGGCGACAAAAACCTGGTCATCTAATAAAGAAATGAAAAATCTCAGGTTGTTGCAGATGGGTGTGTTGCTGACATGTTTGATGCTTAAAAACAGAAGTTTGAGTTCCAAAACACCAGAGAAAATCTGGCACTCCACGAAATGTTTAAAGCGGTCCTGCAGGAGGTTCTTTTCTTTAAGGAGAGAAACAAAATGAACATCACCAACAGACACTAGCAGACTCAGGTTACACAAAAGACTTTTTTACTTACGTTTCAGGAAAAAAAACAAGTTCTGCATTAACTAGAGACAACGTTACCTCCTACAGCCATCCAATGATGAAGCTGAAAGAGTTTCAAAGCAAACCAGAAGCTAGCAATGAAAGTGCCCCAGAGTAAAGTGTTGTCAAGGGAGTTAAAAGATATAAAACTGCCCCCAGAGGAGCAGCTGCGAGCTGTGCATGTTGGAGAGGCATCTGCATGCAGTTTAATTGCCGGACGTGTGAATGCAGGCCGGGCCAGCCTGTAAGCTGATCCTCAGGGAGAGCTGTTCCAGAACAGAAGACAGCAGCTGCATGGCAGAGCACATTTGCCTAGTGTGCTCCCTTTAAGTGGTGGGAGATAGGAAAGAATGGGGAGGGGGGGGCAGCCTATTTATACATGCCGCTACCCTGTGCACATACACCCACAGAAGCTCCTCTCGTCTCTATTCATAGAGGAAACCTGATGCGCTGGCTGAAGCAAGCTGGGAGAGCCTTAGCAAAGTCTGCAGGGCTGTTGGATCAGTTGACACATGGTACAGTGCACAGCTGTTCCCAGCAGTCTCCCCTCCCCTCAGCTCCTTGCTAGGCTAGGGATGAGCTGGGCATTTAGAATAGCAAGACACTGGATGATTTTTGCACACCAGGATCAAAAATGGACCTTCCATAACCCTGGAAAAGGAAAAGAAGGCGGCACTTCAGTGTGGAGACCATCCAGCTAGACACTTTCTGCATTGCACATCTCTCAGAGTGTTACTGTATGACGCTGTGTCTACAGTCAAATTGTAGATGTAAAGAGACCAGTAGGAACTAGTACCAGGAGCTTCAGCCAGTGCACTTATATTCTTATAATGAAAAGAACAGCATTAGACTGAGACTCTGTACAGTGGAGAGTTTTGTCGTCTGTGGGCTCCCTGCTTCGTTCTGTCAAACAGATGACTTACCCGTCTGTGTATTCCGGTGTGTCCTTCTCCTGCAGAACCTCTGAGAAGAGCAGCCATGCCTTTCGGAAACACCCACAACAACTACAAGCTCAACTTCTCGGTTGACGAGGAGTTCCCTGACCTGACCAAGCACAACAACCACATGGCCAAGGCCCTCACTAAGGACATCTACGCCAAGCTGAGAGACAAGCAGACCCCCAGCGGCTTCACCGTGGACGATGTCATCCAGACCGGAGTGGACAACCCAGGTGAGTCGGTTCGCTAGCAGGTGAAGAGCGTCAGAATGCTGTTTGGAGAGAGAGCCTAAAACAGGGCCAAAAAGCGATCGAAATCAGTCACCTTCTGAAGAAAGATGATACTTCAGGCCAGTTAAGTAAGTGGTCAGTAAAATTAAAGTGGGAAGGAATTAATTGAGGAAGAAGAACCAAAATCACTGCCATTCTGTCTGTTCTTTTTTGGGGACTTCCACTTTCCTCACGTTGGAAACGATTTATAAAATTGGTTCCCCTGAATTGAAACTTTTCAGAGGACAACTTTCAAAGACTTTTGCCCTGTTGCTCTTAGTTCTGTGTATATCAATACCCAGATTACCTCTCATTAGTGACATTACAGATTTAGTGTCCAAATAAAAATTAAAAAAATTAGACAGTATTTCTCGCTGGATTTTTGCATTTCATTCATTGGAAATCATTACAGGAAAAATAGGAACGTCCCCTCCCTCCAAGGGCCTGTGTGACCCCTTCACCCCTGTTCTCTTTTGTTGCCTGCAGGTCACCCCTTCATCATGACAGTGGGCTGCGTGGCTGGAGACGAGGAGTCTTATGATGTCTTCAAGGATCTGTTCGACCCCGTCATCGAGGACCGCCACAATGGCTTCAAGCCCACCGACAAGCACAAGACCGACCTGAACTTTGGGAACCTCAAGGTGCTCCAGCATGCCTGCCTTCTGGCTCAGATGTCTGCCAGTACTGATGGCACAGCACTAATGCTCACACTGTGTGATCATGGGCAAAAAAACAGCACTCCTTCAAATTTAATCATCAGCAAGTAGCTGTCGTGCCATCAGGTACCTCAAAACACTTCAGAGCTGCTTGCAGCACAGTAGAAAACATACAGGAGAAACAAAAGAACAAGCACATACTGGAACAGAAATCAGTACATCAGTCTGATAGAGCCTGACACAGATGCTTCTGTATATGACTGGTGTTGCTGTGGGTGGCCATTATAATAAATCAGGGCACCATCTATACAGACTAGAGCGACACTTTGACCGGGCAGATGATTTAGAGAACGAGTTCATTCTGTAAGCAGGGAACTTCTTTTCTGCTTAGGAGCCCCAACAAAGTGTTAACTTAGCAAAAACAAGAAAAGGAATTCTATTTTTCCTGCTGGCATGTGTTAGGGCTGCTGGGGAGATTGAAGAATGCAGGATGCAGGACAAGGTGTGTGACCAGCCAGCCTCTGTCTGTCTGTTCTCAGGGCGGCGATGACCTGGACCCCAACTATGTCCTGAGCAGCCGTGTGCGCACTGGCCGTAGCATCAAGGGGTACACCCTGCCCCCCCACTGCAGCCGTGGAGAGCGCAGAGCCATTGAGAAGATGTCCATCGATGGTGAGTGTGGTGTTGAACACTGTTCATAATGGAGTGAGCCTTGAGAGCAGGTTGAGCCCGGACTGTGGCACAGCCCACTGGGACTGGGATTCCCCAAGCAGCAGTGCACAGCCGACTGTCTGCCATCAGGGCAGAAGTAATACAAACAGGCCAGGGCCCTGTCAGCCTTCAGGCTAACTGCAACTCCCTAGACTTGCTGTCATACAGCAACTGCTATAAAACAAAGTAAGCAAGTACATAGCAGCAGAGTAACACAGTCACAGTTACAGGGGCATATAATAATGGTCAGCAATGTGATGGTGCTGTGTTAAAAAGGGTTACTTAGTGAAGTAAGTATTGTCTTACGTTTCACAGCAAATTGACATAAATTGGTGACTTAGAAGGTACATCATAAAATATTTAAATATCAATTGGAAGGTTATGGTTTACAGGCTTCATTATTCCATAACCCTACCTTCATCTCACCTTAAATAACAAGGAAGCTCAGTGTGAGCAAGTCAGAGACAGGAGCAGAGCATGTGACAACGTCTGTGTTTGTCCAACAGCCCTGAACACCCTGGAAGGAGAGTTCAAGGGCAAATACTATCCTCTGAAGGACATGACTGATGAGGAACAGGACCAGCTGATCCGTGACCACTTCCTGTTTGACAAGCCCGTGTCTCCCCTGCTGCTGGCCTCTGGCATGGCCCGTGACTGGCCCGATGCTAGAGGAATCTGGTGAGTCTGCAGAACCAGGCCAGGCTTTATGAATTACAGGATCTTGTATGTAACAGTAAGAATATGAACCATAAATTTTAGGCTTTTGCTAAAATCGGTGGTTTCATGCTTTCACTTTAAAGTATTGAAGCTAAAACCAGGTACTAAAGAACATAAAGGCTATAGATGAAAATAGCCTGCTTGTTGCTAATCAAGGATCCCATCCAACTGTTGCTTAAAAAAGCCAAGACATCTCCAAAATATGGCTGGGCAGGTTGTTCCACACTCCCACAGCACTTTGTGCAAAGACGTACCGCCTGTTCTCAGTTTTAAATGTACTATTTCTCAGTTTCATTGTTGATTCTGAGGACCTCTATTGGGTTGACTATGTTAATGCTTTTAAGGATTCTGAATACTCGATTCAGGTCCCCTCATACTGTCGTCTTTCTGTTCAAATAGTTCCAGTTCTTTCAGCCTGTCAGAGCTATTGTCTGGAAGATGACAATGATGTGTCAAAATAAACATTTTTTTTTTCATAAGCAGCTTCTTCAGGCTGGGGTTTTTTCCCACCTTATTTACAATTTATGCTTTTTTACTACCATCATCGAACACTCGGCACATGTTAACATGAAATATCATCTGCAGATGTTTGTCCAGCAATGTGTCTCCCCCTTCACCAACACCTTTCTGAGCAGCCCAAAGCAGGTTCTCACTGCACAGCCAGGCCCTCTCATGGGTGCTGTTCTGGAGCTGCAGGACACTAATCATGTCCCCCCCCCAACGCTTAGGCACAACAATGACAAGACCTTCCTGGTCTGGGTGAACGAGGAGGACCACCTGAGAGTCATCTCCATGCAGAAGGGTGGCAACATGAAGGAGGTCTTCAGACGCTTCTGCGTTGGTCTTCAGAAGGTATGCGTCTGACCACCTCAGCCCCACTCTCTTGATCCACAGATGTATCAGTTTTGTTTTTCTTCTTGTACTGAATTTGCTTGGGACACAACTCTAGGCCAGGAAGATATGTCCAAAAGTGTTTTGAAAACCAGATTGGGGTTCGGTGCTCAAAATAAAAGAGCTTGAACACATCATTGAACATTGCAAAGTCAACTAAAGCCAGGAGGGACGACCTGGAGCACTAGCCTGTGGCCAAGCAGCCTTGTGAAGTAACTGACTGGACGTGTTGCTTACAGTTCCTTGTCAGAGAACTTGTAGTCTTACAACACAGAAATTAGTTGGCATACAGAGATACTGGAAAACTGAAAAGGGCAGCCTGACAAAGTGCTGAGCAGAGCCCTGCCATGCCAGCTACTAACGTAATACTAAAGCCCAGTCGTGGCTTTCACAGATCACATTAAATACAGAATGGCATGCCAGGCAGTAGTTACGAAGACCATTTAAATTGTTTTCAGTGGAGTAACCCATGCACAGTACTACATACAGTACGCTCTTTTGGAAAAAAAAAATGAAACAAGGTAAAATCAATTTAACACTTTTTATAATGGAACGGGTATTATCAGGAGTATATGGGAACTTGACTTGTTTTAGAAACGGGCACGCCTGTGAACTACACGAGGGCATCTCTCCTCACCACTTTCTTGACATCTCCCTCCCAGATTGAGGACCTCTTCAAGAAGCACGGCCGCTCCTTCATGTGGAGCGAGCATCTCGGCTACATCCTGACCTGCCCCTCCAACCTGGGCACTGGCCTGCGCGGCGGCGTGCACGTCAAGCTGCCACAGCTCAGCAAGCACCCCAAGTTCGAGGAGATCCTCACCAGGCTGCGTCTGCAGAAGCGTGGCACAGGTAGGTTGTGCAGATGCCCCGAAGGGCGCAAACACAGGTACTGCATTTATATGGCAACAGGGTGAAGCATGGTAATCCCTTACAGGCAAGATCTAGTACCACAGTTAACCAGTTAATAAAATGAACGTGCATATAACAACTAAATAAATTACAACGGTCTGAAAAGTCAGTGAGCTAACAGGTGCTCTTCACAAAATGATCCACAGCTTAGCATTAACTGAAGCATTTGGCTTTGGAACAAAGAACATTAGAGCATCACAGCACCTTACTCTAATTCCTCAGGGATGCTCCAGCACCAGGTCTGCTCCATTTGCTTATAGGATATATCTCTTTGTGCTCTCCAAGTGTGCTGAGACACCCTGCTACAGGACATGGTCACAAATTTAGCAAAGATGAGCTGCTAAAACATTCCAGTGTGATTTGGGCACCTCTGTGCGGCGTACCACAGCCCCTGCCCCCCGCCAATGAGCATGGTTCTGTCCGGTTTGCCTCGCAGGCGGTGTGGACACTGCGGCCGAGGGTGGCGTCTTCGACATCTCCAACGCTGACCGCCTGGGCTTCTCCGAGGTGGAGCAGGTGCAGATGGTTGTGGACGGCGTGAAGCTCATGATTGAGATGGAGAAGAAGCTGGAGAAGGGAGCGGCCATCGATGACATGATGCCTGCCCAGAAGTAAAAAGGGAACTGTGCACTTTTTATATTGTAACATAACGACACACAAAATCTTGGATCCGACTCCCCTCCAGAGACTCTCGACTTCCCCCACCTCTTCCTCTTCTTCCGTTTCCCTTCCTTTCTTCCCTCCCATCTGTCATCTTCCATCTCTTTCATCTGTTCTGTGGGTAACATCCTGGGATCAAGCCTTCGTCCACGCTGTCGGGCCAGGCTAGGAGCCTGCCGATTGCGTCTTCACCTTCACCTCTCATTTTGACTTTTTTTTGGTTGTAAAAAGTAAGCTAAATTGTAATAAAAATGGCCCCATGAAACAATCAATTCTCATTGTCTTGTCTGGTCTTTTTATCCACCATCTCATATCACATGACCATTTCCTTATCGGTGGTTTTCTTTAATTGAAGAAGAGCGTGGTTTGACCAAAGCACTCAAGAGTCGATATCAAGATTGTCAAGGTGAGACAATTAATCTTAACTTATGTTGATATTATCTCTTTGTTTCTTGTTATATGAAGACACTTTATATTTTAGCCTTTTTATTAATTGTTGGGAGAGATTATTTTCTGGTCTATTTCTTTACACATGCATGCCAGCAAAACAGATGTAACCAGATGTTACCCATACAGCAGGGCATATACTTGAGCAATCTGATTACCTCAAGGGTACAACAGCAGGATCTGAGCACAAGACTTGCTGGTCAGGAGTCCAGAGCACTTAACCACTCCGCCAAGCTGCTGCCTCTAGCACCACAACTGCTAAAGATTAGACTGCAGTACACGTAGCCAATGCTGAATTGACAAAACCGAGCACAGCCCAGACATCCAAACAGAGAGGAAGACGAGCAGGAGGCTGAAGACCAGGTAAATTCAGGGGGAGAGGAGATGCCACTGCTTGCAGGATTCTTCTCAGTTGCAGGAACCTGCCGTTGCAAACAGTTACCAGCACAGCTTACAGTCCATCACCTGCAAGAGAGGCTGCACACAAAAGGAGGACTTTTTTTTTCTTTCACCTTCAGTAAAGTGCTCAGCACTCAAGCGGGCACCACTTCAGCTTCAGCAAATGGCATCAACAATCTGACACCTGGGCCACACGTAATGGGTAAAGCAAATCATATCAACATCAGAAAGGCGGCTAATGAGAGGAGACTGTTTGGTACTGCTCTGGAAAGGTATCACTGTGATTTGGACCCAATGTTCTCCTGTTCACCAATAAAAAATTTCATTATTTTGTCAGCATCCTTTAAGCCACTGAAAGATGCATGGGAACAGATCTATTCCTGCCAACACTTTTATAGAATTTAACCAGGGTATGCAAGATGGCCTCCATGGAGCTACTGACCAACTGTCAGTTTTAGTTTTAGTATATGACGGCAGAGACATTATCTAGATGAACTGCACACAAGGGGAGCCCATCAGGATCATGTAGGTCACTCAGTTGCCAGAACTTAATTTATCCAAAATTCATGCGCAGACATTTTCCTGAAGAATTCCTGGCGATTGCCAGGCTTTGTCCCAGACCTCAATGACTGTACTATTGTCACACCTAAATATTCATCTATCACCACTTGTGTGCGCATGTTGTTTCTGACCTTGAACTTACCACTCTGGTTGATGTTACTCAACACACCTTCACAATCTACACTGCACAGCAGGCAATACCTTCATCCTTTAAATCAAACCCATCAAGAACTTGAAACACTGGTTGTGACATTTTTCTAAGCCTCGAAACTGTTCCAAAAGTTATTCACAGGATGCAAAGCAAGGCTGTAATCAAGCAAATGCAGAGAGTGACTCCAAAAAACCCCTGAATGCCTTTAGTAAAAAGACGACAAAGAGCTACAGGTTCCAATAGCTGTGTATTTTATTTCTCAAGGTTACTCATATTTCCCAGTTTTTACATCTAATGGCACCAAGGCCAGTGCCAGATATATAATAACTTAAAAATTAAAAAAAAAAGTTGAACAATTAATTTTAATTTGTTGTAATTTTTCTCTGTTCTCTACACAATAATATAAATACAAGCACTCTTTTGGGTTTACACAAGACCTGACTCGACTTCTTTAGGGTGAGAGGAGTTGGGTCCAGGTGGGCCAGGGGTGTTGAATGTGACAGCTGTAATGCCAGCGTCTCTGGAACATAGTGTTCAGCACCCTGGAGCACAGAGCACCAGCTGCTCCAGAACCAACAGCACCAGTTGATCCAGAACCAACATCACCAGCTGCTCCAGAACAAACAGCACCAGTTGATCCAGAATCAACAGCATCAGCTGCCCCAGAACAAGTGGTGCCAAGTGCTCTGGAACACAGAACACCAGCCGCTCCAGAACAAACAGTGTCAGCTGCTCTAGAACAAACAGCACCAGCTGCTCCAGAAAAAAAATGGCACCAAGTGCTCTGGAGCACAGAACACCAGCTGCTCCAGAACAAACACTGCCAGCTGCTCTGGAACCAACAGCACAAAGTGTTCAGTTCAGATTTGCTCCTTCAATTAGTTTCATCAACAATACTGATAATGCCTTAGCATGTACTCTCCTGGAGCCAGGACACAGCATTAACCTCACTCAGACTTGATATTGTTGTGAAATTCCAAGCACATCCTGAGCAGGAATTACTGTATCCCCACTTTGTCAGAAGAACAATCCAATGCAGACTTAAACTGCTGGTCCCTCAGTTCCCTGCTCCGGGCTTACATCTCACCTAACAAAAGGGAGATTCAGGTCTTCAGAAGTTTGTTAGGTCAATGCTGTAAAACTAAACTCAAATGGCCCTAGTCAATCAGTGGAGACTGATACCAATCCTATTTATAGTGAAGAAAGGAAATCCAAAGGCTGCAGATTATGAACAGTGACCCTGTACTGAACTCTCCCTATCTGACTGGAACAGTTCATTTTATCTCATCTTTGCATCAAGATAGCAAATTATTGTCTCTTTTGTTTTTTACAATACACACAAGCACCAGTTTCCAAACTAAGACTTCTATATTCGCACCTACTGTGTTTATATATAATAGATAAATATTCCTAAAAAACAATTTTAAGATACTGCAGTATTGCGAAACAGTAAAAATCAGAAATGATGGATCAGTTGGACTTGAGCTGGAGCTGCTGGTTCACACATAGGCAACTCTATCCCTTAATGGCAAAACATTAAACCAATGCAAAAATGAGACATAACAAAGCTGTAGACAGTTGATTAAGGATCATTTCAGAGGACAGAGTGTTCTCTGTGTTTGTGTGTCTCCCTGTTTTCACCACAGCTGCCACTCTCCCAGTAAAGTGAGACACCTGTAACATTTTCAGAACTTGCATAGGAACCCTCAATGCCCACAGGACACACATGGCTTTTCCAGGATATTTCAGGATTTTGTTTCTCCACAACAGCTTAATTATTCCCGGATTCTTTCTGCAAATGACACATCATGAAAGACACTCACATGCAACACTAATAGTAAAGATCAGAATTTTGGCCACAAAAAACACTGCTCCAGGCCTCCACCCTCAGGAGTACCGACTAACTTCTATGCCTTGTTCCACTGGACCTGCTGACTAATTTAACAGAATGTCCATCTCGCAAGTAGAATCAAATTTAAAAACACTGTTATAATTAACATAACTCGCCAAGGACAAAAAGCAGCAGTTTTTTAAACAAAAATGACTTCTGTGAACATGCAGGGCTATGGTTTGGTGCCCACCTCTGTTCACAACACCTGGATGAAATCTACAGCTACCTGCTTGACGCGTGACGCCTAATTTGAACAATACATATGATTCCTGCTGAAGAGAGCTGGTGTTTGTCCTGCACCTGTGGAGAAGCTTAAGAATAATGTTTCAGAAAAGGCATTAAAAGAGCTAATGTGATTACTCTTTTGCTCTGGGATTTAGTTTGCAGCTACATCTGATGTCCTGGAAAAGCCTGAGGTGATCCAACTGAAAAAAGGTCTTGCTAGGTTCAGTGCTCCAAGGCAATAATACTGTCCTTAAGGCTGTCTTTAGAGCAGAACAGACACGCTGGGAATGGCGGCTCTTGGTCAGAAACCAGGTGGGCTTGTAAACTCTTTCATGGGGATTATGTCAGTATGTCCAGGTGTGTGTGTGTGTGTGTGAGAGGAGGTGCTACTGTCCAACACAAAGACAAGGGTTGAACAACAACCCAGTTTTTGGAAAAACAATGTGTCCTGCTGACGGTTCGACAGAGCCAGTCCCTGGCCAGACAGTGGAAGACATACAGGCCCCAGCAGAGGGAAAGCAAGGCAAAACCCCATCGCTACGATAACTAAGTCTACGCCTTCTAGGAATGACTCCAGAGGAGCAGATTCTTTCGCTGAAATCCTCTGAGCTTCTAAAACTCCCCCTGCAAGCAACATCTGAACAACTTTTGAGTCTTCACATGGTTAAAAGGCCAACTGTATACTGTCCACTACTCTTCATTAACACATTCCTCATCAACTTGTTTTAAAATCCTATTTCAGATGAAATCGCATCCCTCCTCCACCAAACACAGTAGAGTCGGCTAGTATTCCTTCAGAAAGGATGTAACACAGATAATCGGCTCATGATAAACTGCACACCTGGGCTCACTTACCTGTCCCCACCCCTCCCTGGTTCTACACAGCACCTGTTTATGAGCCTGCAGTGATAGCAGGCCATGCTTGGGAAAACTGTTTGATCTGCTTTTCCTCTCCGCGCACACAACTGCACGCCCTAGGCTCCTCCCCACACAGAGGGGGAGAGCTTGGTTTTGACCTTGAAGGCTGCAAAGGTGTGTGGTGTCCTTCATACTCGATATCGCTTGTTCCCGATTTTCTGTCTTAAACCACTAAAGAAAACTCGCTCTAAAAAATATGGAACCAACTGTTCGGAAAATGTGAATTTGAGATAAATAACAGACCCCGAAGATGGAAAAACACGTAGACTGACATTTCCTTTCCTGCCCTGGTCCTGCATTTTCTGGGGTGAAAAGCACTGGGCTGTCAGGCCTCAACACTTTTCCTGGCAGGAAAAGGAAGGAGACGAATCCGACGGGCAGAAAATCCAGATACTTTCCCTAAACGCACTCCGGCCACGTCTGTCGAGTTCCCAGCACTGCCTGGCCCAACTGGGCTGTCTGCACCCTTTGGAAAACACCCTCCCACCTCATTCGCACGCACACGCCAACTGCATTTTAAATTAATTAAAAAAATATATAAAAACAAGAAGAAGACTGAACCTCGGGCCTGTGACAGCCAAGCCAACTTATTTAAAAATATTTCAAATAGCAGCTGTTGAGAATGAAGAACAAGAATTGCAAGAATTGCGATGACAACAATAATATTGAGAAGAGTAGCGCATCCGGGCGGAGTCCTGCTGGGTGTCCTTGGTTCCGGACCGGCGGTGTCTTGAGGGTGGGAGGCGGGGGCGCGGCTCGGGAGCCTATCCGTGCGGGAGTCCTGGAGTATCGGCACTGGGGGTGTGAGAGGATTCAGTCCGTCTTGTCCACTCCCACCCCTGCCCCTTCTCTCCCGAAACCCCCCGCCGCCGCCCCCACAGTCGCCCTCAGAGTTCGAGCTCCTTGGAGATCTTTGTGGCAATGTCCCGGAAGGCGAGCGGCGCCCCCCAGACGCGCCGGAAGCGCACCCCGCTGGTGACGCAGGGCCCCGCGGGCAGCTGGCACACCTCGGCCTCGAAGGCCACGCGGCCGCCCGCCGCCCCGTGCGCGCAGGACAGCAGGAAGGGCCCGGCCGGGTGCACCTGGCAGCCGCAGCCCTGGGCCGCCTCCCGCAGCGCCTGCAGCACCTCCGCGGGGTCCCGGGCGCTCCGTACCCTCACATCCCAGCCGCATCGGGGGGGCCGGGGCTCTGGCGCTTTTTGATACCCAGGTAAATGGCGACTAGAGAGGTGGGGGGGGGAACAGGGCAAGAGAACAGGAGAGAACAGGAGAGCGTTACCACCAGCAGACTCCAGCAGACAACGGGCTCCTCGCTGCCTCACTATAATAATAATGTAATAATGTTGCTTCATTAGCCCTGTACAATTTCTCGCATTAGGAATTCATCTTTTCGCATTCCCCAGCTTTTCTCCATGGAGACACAGACACAGAGACAGGGAGAGAAGCTTGGGGTCAGAGTGCAGGGTCAGCCATTGTACGGCGCCCCTGGAGCAGCTGGAGTTAAGGGTCTTGCTCAGGGGCCCAACGGAGTAGGATTCCTCTGCCGGCTGCGGGATTTGAACCGGCAACCTTCCAGTCACAGGCGCAGATCCTGAGCCACAGAGCCACCGCTCCGCCCCTCACTGCACTGCGCCGCGGGCGAGGAGCTGTATCAGAGCTAGCCTTCAAATGAGGGACTACACACCATGCTGGACATCTGTAAAAACTGTACAAGCATTCCAGAAATACATAACCCTTCCAGTCCTGTACCTGTGATGTATGAGTTTCATGTCGGGTTTTGAAGCCCGGTGAACTGTTAACTGTAAGCACGATCACTCCTCAAGCAAGGAACTTGCAAAGCCTCTTTTGTAACCTGGCAGTAGGACATAACAGAGCTAAACTCACACTCAACTACATGATATGAATATTTAGGTATACATATTCACTCATATTCACAGAGATTAGAGACTTTTGAAAAATTAACAAGAGGTTAGGAGAGGCTAGGAGAAAATAATTTCAAGAAGTCATCAGTGATTTATGTATTGTGTGTACAGGCACTATGCAAAGTCAAACATTACCTCATAAAAGTTATTTCCCTTAACTTTAAATAAGTAATCATTTACACAAGTAACCAGGACTGTACTGGATTACTTTTTAAAGCCAGGTTTTCCCAACATACAGTCACAGATGGCAGAATGATTACTGATATCCATCTAGACCAAGTCAGAGGTTCATTTCCAAGCAATCCTACAAGACCTGGAAGAACCCAAAAGTGCCATACATGAGCACCTGGCAACTCCATGGTACTGTATATGTATATACACAGATATACAGCATATATACACATACCGAAACACACAGCTTCATGGCAGCATGTTGGGACATGGGGTAACGTCGCAGCTTTGCTGCGTCCAGCTCTAGCTGGTCACACACACTAGTCTACTGCACCACGGTATCAGTGTCCACACACACCACACCACGGTTTGATGGCTCTACTGTCTACGAAGCCACTATCAGCCACGATACCCTTTTACCTTGCTGGTTTAACCTGAAACAGTGCATCTGAGGCGACAGGAAAAACCAAAAGATTACAAATAAACAGTAACTGTGGCACAAAAGTGGCCATCTTCCCTGTCATTAGGGAAGCAGCAGAACTCGTTCATGGTGCGCGGCTCAGAACCAGCCGGCCATCACTGCAGCAGAACTTGAAAACTTGCAGGAAGCCTCCTCAGACGAGCATGTTACATCGCAGGGCTGTGCCGAAATGTCAGGCCTTTCTCAGTCCTCGTGTCCTTCAACACACCGTCTGCTACCCACACTGGTAACCATGGCTTTCCTTCTGTTTCTGAAGACTGGTATTAAAGGCTGCAGCTACAAGGATTTCAGGCATGTTGTAAAATAACTAAGTAACACTGACTATAACGGACAACAGTATAAAACCCTTTCTGAAACCAGTTAAAGGACATTTGACTTGCCCACCTGCAGGAAGGAGCACCATTTAGAGCAAGGACTTTCAAAGTTTTCTTTTTTTACCTCAGTAATGTTTTCTCCCCCTGCCTGCTAAATTGATCTCTCAAAGTAAATGGGCAGTCTGGCCTCTGTGTCCCGATGCCCTGCTGTATAAGGACAATGGTGCACAGCTCAGCTGAGACAGACAATGGTAACCAGGGGTCTCATCATGCGAGCTGCTCTCTGTAGTGTCAAGTGTCCAAGCGATACTGACCTTGTGACCGGAGATCTGCAGACTCTCTCAGGTTCGTCTGTGACCCTTAAGAAGGAAATAGATCACACCATTAGGTACGAATCAGTGGGACACAGAGACTAGGCCAGAGGGCCAACGAAACAATTGTGAAAATTCTCTCATCGTCAAACACCTCAAAGCAACACGAAGGAATGAACAAAAGAAGTGGTTGTCAATGGTCACACGTGCTAATTTATTCCAGTAGCCAGCGCCTTCCAAACATCAAATCCCAAATTCATTCTGGGTGACATAAATTTAGAATCCTAATTTCCTGCTTTTCGCCCCATCAAGCTTTTCTGGGTACTAGTAGAAAAGTGATATAAGGAACTTTTTCATGTGTCTCTTACGTATGCTGTGCAGGACACATTGTCTTGGCTGTACTATCATCATCAGCTCAGGAAGTTAATTTTTACTGTACCAAGCTCTGCTTCATTATAATATGTTTCTCTCAAAAAAGAAAACCGTCTCATCCCCCCCCACAGCAGTCAGTGGTATACAGTAAATAGAGCCCTGCACAAGGCGAGCTGTGAAATTCCAGAGCTCGGTTTTGTTCCTGGTGCTGCGCTTACAACTCGGACAAAGGCCTTTCCTGGAACCGGGCACTTTCCAATCGCAGGACGGAATCTTCTGTGGAAGGAGCTGGCTGCCAAAGAGCACTCTGGTGGAAAATCACTGATCCACACCAAACATCAAACATAACTAAACACGAGCTGCAATGCACAAGACCTGTGGCATGACAACACTAGCTCTGGCCTTATGAGGTGCTGTTAAGTGTGGTAGGACAAGACACCTGAAATACAGGGGCCTGTTATTGTTAAAAGCAAACCCATCTGGGCCCAGCGTGCCCACGTACTCAGGAACCTTGACAAGAAGTTTCTTCTGCCCTGGTGGATCAACATTCATAATGTGGGCTGGACGTTTGCTCGATGCATCTGTACCTCTTTCTGCAACCATTCCTGGCTTTTCTCAGCGCAACTCATGCTCCTCAGGGCTCACTGGTACTGTTCTGTGTGTTGAGCCTGAAGCTGCTGTTCAGGATGACTAGCTGCTGCTGGAGCCCCTTCAGGACTCTAAATACCTCAGTCATATCTGTGCTATATGACAGGCTGCAGACATCTTCTAAGCAAACCAAGCACGGCACTAAGGCTTTGAGATGAGGCTACACCAGCAGCCTGTAGTTGGATACTTCAGATGGATGAGTGCTCATGTCTGGTGACCTTTCACATGCATTACCTGCCGACCCCACCAAAGACACAGACAGGCAGGCGTGAGAAGAGTCTCACTACGTACTCAAACACACATGAGGCTGAGGAACGGAGACATATACAGTAATCTCTTGCAAGACGAGCCACCGCTACACGAGTTTTTACTTACTAGTTAGGCTCCATGTAAAGCCTTGCTGAGATTCCTTTCAAATAATCTTCTCTGAGAAATTTCATTTATTTCATTTTCACTTTTTTGATAGCAAAGGCTTGTGTGGTTCAGTGTAAACAGTATAGTACAGGACAGTACCTAATGCGTTTTGCTGATGGCCATGGTACTGTACAGTAAATACAGCAGGAGCAGAAGTGCTACTGTTTATGCATCAGCTAATGACTTCAAGCTTGTTTCTCGAATAATTAACCAGGAGTGTTGTTATTTTTATAAATAGGTACTGTTCTGTGCTGTCTTAAGGTGAAGTCGGGGTGTTTGAGAGAAGATTTCTGAGTTCTGAAACCGATCAGAGATTATACGTGAAGCAACGTGAATTTAATTTCCGTTACACGAGTTTTCATTTTACGAGCAGTTTTGGAGGAACAAATTAAGCTTGTGTAACAAGCGATTACTGTATAGATTTTCTGCTGTTTGCTGTGGTTTAGCTGCAAAAATGTCATGCTGTCCCAGCAAAATCCTTAAGGAATGGCACTGCTCTAGGAAACCACCACGTCGGACAAGAGCCTTTCCCTTAGGATTTTAATACTCTCCAAGAAACACATGGGAGAGCAGGGCTTTTGAGAGCTTTCTTTGAAGGAGTGTAGAAAGACAGCCACGTCAGTATGTTACATGAATCCAGGATGCAGGGCAACAGGCGCATAGGCAGGCAGACAGACAAACAGATAAGCAAGGCCATGGGAAGACTTACTAACTGTTTTTGATCCCTGCGGAAGAGTGCAGCCCGAGACAGATTTGTTTGAGCTCTGGCGCTTAGAAGGGTCAAGATTGACCCTAGAGGAAAACAGAGACAGAGAAAGAGAGAGGAGAAATTGCAGGTGTTCGGCAGGGAAAGCAAACAAATCAAATAAAAATACTAAAAAACAACAGAAGAATCAAATACCAGCCGAGATCTGGATACAGAAAGATGTGAACTGCAGGTTGAGAGCCTGAGGTTAACAGAGGAACAAAAGGCCAGGGAAGACGGCGCTTATTATAGGGGAACTGCGTGGGGTAGCGCTGGACTTTGAGATCTGTCTGCACAGCCTAAACACACATACACACACACACTCAGAAGACAACTTCAGACTCACATCTGCTGTGTTAGCTTATCATATTAGCCTCCATGCAGGCTGCTTTTAATAAACTGAGTTCATGTTGCACACGTACAGCTGTGGACTATTAATACTGGTCCAAACAAGGCAGCACACGTGTGACTATTAACTATAATTTTGCATTAAAACGGCAACAAAAGAGCAAACTCAAAAACACAGGTAGGTATGTGAAGAACTCCTTTCCTCCTGTGCTTAGTTTCTTTTTTTTTCATTAGGCAAAGGGTTCACACATAAGCACATACTCATTGCTGTTCTTATATAAGCCAGGAGCCATATAACTCTTCACAGCTGGCAGCCCACTGAAGCTCAGCAGGTGTGCGAGCCTGGTCAGTACCTGGATGGGAGACCTCCTGGGAAAAACTAAGGTTGCTGCTGGAAGAGGTGTTAGTGGGGCCAGTAGGGGGCGCTCACCCTGCAGGCTGTGTGGGTCCTAATACACCAGTATTGTGACGGGGACACTTCACTGTAAATAGGAGGTGTCCTGTGGATAAAACATAACACCTTGGTCCTGACTCTCTGTGGTCATTACAAATCCCAGGGCGTTTCTCAAAAAGAGCAGGGGTGTGACCCCGGTGTTGTAGCCAAATTTCCCCCTGGCCTTTACCAGTCATGGCCTCCTAATAACCCCCCTCTCTGAACTGGCTCCATCGCTCTGCTCTCCTCCCCACTGAGAGCTGGTGTGTGGGGAGCGGACTGGTGCATCATCCAGGTGGGGCTGCACACTGGTGGGGGTGGAGGGGATCCCCATGACCTGTAAAGCGCTTTGAGTGGCGTGTCCAGAGCAGCGCGATAGAAGTGTGAGGATTATTATTCTTATTAGCGCTCAGCGCCAGTGCCAGAGGATGAGAATGTTCCTGGTAAAACAGAGCCGATGCGGTGGCGAGAGCCCGTACCTGCGGGTCAGTTTGGAGGTGATCTTGCTGAAGAGGTTGGAGGTGGCTCGGCTGCGGGCGTGAGGGAGGGGGCTGGCGTCGTGCGACAGGGTGGGGGAGGTGGGCGGGGCGGCGTGGGGGGGCGGGCGGCGGTCCCGGAGCTGCCCCCCGTGGAAGGTGCTGCGGATGGTGGAGCCGCGAGAGAGCCGGGAGCGGTCGCCCACAGAGGAGGCCCCCCCCGCGCCCGCGCCCGCGATGCTGTGGGTCGACGGCGAGGCCGGGGGCAGCCGGTGAGACAGAGAGCTGAGAGAGAGACGAGCAGAGCCGTTAGCACACACAGAGACACACAGACACACAGACACACAGACACACAGACACACAGA